GAGAGAAAGTGATTCCTTCTTGCAGCGCAACCATTTTTTTCTTATAAGAGGTGATCGTCACTTTAAGATTACCATTTATTAAAGAAACAGAGATTAAAGCAATGCCACTGAAAACGTGGTTGTATTCAAATCTGGTAAAGAATGATAATTGAATTCATTATCATTTTAATTGGTGTTATTACGGACGTGAGTGGTACGTATGTGATAATTTAATTTGATGATATAAATATATACTTAATTTCAAATATATTTTTTTACAATTTTTTCAACGGAAGTCAATGTCCCTCCTTACAGTAACGTAGTTAGAAACGAAAATAGTTATATAACTCCAAAACAAATCACTTTCAATCCTCAAAACTTGGAATTTTTAAGTTATGGACCCAAAGAAACGTTTTCACACCGTACAGCACAAGATGTTCATGAACTTTCCTTTACACTTCTTTTTCTGATACGGCGCATCTTTTTTCTACCCTGTTCAGTGACGCGCAAAATCTTTAACCGTACGTGAAATTAAACTAATTACGTGACATTCTATGTGACTGTGTTAGGGAGTGTACCTCTCTATTTGGTAAAAAACATAAATGAGAATTATTTGCTCGACAAACGAATATCGTACTGTTATGGTAAAATACGTTCAGTTAGTACAGTCACAAGGATTTGTATATATTACACACACACATATTATGTATACACATATATTACACATATGCAAATAGAAGGATAGGGAAGAGGATGAGGTTTAAGGCGGAAGAGTTTTCGCACGGGTACACTAGTTAAGAAATGTAATGGAGATCGCGTCATATCATCGCGTCACCGGAAATATGGATTATAGGCTGATATATTATTAAAATACGTAAAATATAAATATAAATACTTTTTTATAATTATAGAAAGAAACATATAAATCATTTACTAGAATATATATATTTCGCAGTATAAATACTTTTGAATCACAATATAATTTCAACGAAATAATATATTTCTTGCCTACGAAAATAAACGAGTGTTTCATAATATTTACTCTCACCGCTGATGTTGGCTCGCTCTGAGGTTCCACAAGTCCAATGTTGACCAGAAGTGAGATGATTAAACTGCGACTCACCTGCAAAAAGAAAATGGTGAACATAAAACCAAGTGCGTAAATAGTTTTCTATGTTTTTGCTGATCGTTAAATTATATAAGTAGAATAGCAAATCACAAATTACACAATAACGGTATCTCCTATTCGTTATTAATTTTTTGCCTTATTTGTAAAATTTCTACATTAAATTAACCGAACTCGTATTTAAGCAATATTTTACTTGATCTACATTTACGTTAATTTAATTATTCGTTTCTAATCGAAACATATCTTCGATGGTAGTAGAATGGAACTAGTCTCTTCATCAACATGCAAATAAGATAGAGTCAACTTGAACAAGTCTCGCGAAAAACGATTAAATTCTGTGGTGGAGATTCCTCTTATTCCTGGCAAGTCACGTCTTATGCACCTTGCTCTTCAGTAAAATTCCTCTTCATTTGCAAGACGCCACGAAGACTCGGCAGAGTTCACCACCTGTTGTAGAACAAGTGCTTGTAAGACTGAGTAGAAGTGTACGACTTCCGAACTTTTAATATTTATGGCCCGACGCAAATTATACTGCTCCTGCTCGCTGTGCCGGTCATGAAAGAAGAAATCGAAACTCATGAACTTAAAACTGACAAATTTTCAATAAAATTAGGATTAGGTGAATAAGAAGTAACCTCACTTTTTCGTGTAAAAATATGCTTTTATATCTGCGTAAAAAATATAACGTTGACTCAATTGCTTCTTCCATATTCATTTTCCTTTTGTAACGTGACCTCTTTTTTGCCGGAGAACTGTTTGAATAGCATCAATAGTTTTATTTTACGAACGAAAGTCGCTGTTTTCGCTTATCGGTACAAAACGATTGCGAATTTCACGGACATTTCAGTGTACATCGGTTGAGTAACGACATTCCAAATTTATTATCTACAAGTGTATGTATTTTTTAAATATATTTATTACATTTCAAGGGGATTACATGGTTCAATTATTACAATACCTTTGTCACTTGCATTGGTAGCTTAGAAACTAACTTATAACTAGATTCTTACAGCTAATACATTGGTTGAGGAAACCTATGTCGCTCCTCTATTTATGCCATTTCAGAGAACAATTTAAGGAACACATGTAATGGATATTTGTTTTTGATTCTTGTGTTATTGGTTTGGTTTCTTCACAATGTGAATTCGGATAGGGATGGTATTTGCATGAGATTTATATACACGTTAGAGGAGAGGTATGTGATGGGCTAATTGCTGCAGATTGAGTTCTTTGTGTGTTGGATTGCTAAAAACGGAGATCACGGAGTGACGACAGCAGTGAATGGAAACGACCCCTCTAAATGAAATGCCTCTACTATATTTACTTTTTCTATTGCACCCGGTCCAGTTATCATGTGCGCTCCGAATCTAGGAACCAAGAAGACTGTCGCAAAGTTCGCCATCTGTTGCGAAATATGTGTCGCCAGAGTGCGTGGGCGTTTGCGAATTTCGAAGTTTTAATATTTATGGCGCGGAGCGAATCATGCCGACACAGTGGGCCGGAGATGTATCGTTTTGTGTTTTTGTTTCTTTGTTGTGTTTGTGAGAGTGTGTGGGGGGGGGCGTTATTTGCACTCTACTAGTATTTTTTGATGAATGTAAGTTTACAACATGAAATAAGACAGCGTAGAAATAAAAGTAAAAACCACAATTAAATGAGTATGTCAATTTTTTCATGTGATTGCTTTTTCTTTTCATTTGTAAGTGATGATGACGACGATGATGATGAAGTTGTAAGACACCACTTCATGTAACTAGCTTCACAAAATAATAATAATAATAATAATAATAATAATAGTAATAATAGTAATAATAATAGTAATAATAATAAATAATAATAATAATAATAATAATAATAATAATAATAATAATAATAATAACCATAAATCGCTAAGGCCTTAGCGCCATAGTGGTTTCGCACCAGAAGATCGCAGGTTCGAGTACCGCCTCGGACATGGGTGGGTTTGTGTATGACTGTCTAAGTGTGGCGTCCTATCACCCCTCATTATCATCATCAACATCATCATCATCATCATTTCATCTTCCATACCCCCAGGGCTAACAACCCTGGGGGATAAAAATCGGATTTAGCTAAATGCTGGTCCCCAATTAAAGTTACATGCACCTGCCACCGCGATAAACATATAGAGCAAATGTAAATGCTGGGTGCATGCGTGCATGGTCCAAGTCGGTCTATTCGCGAGCAAAAAATTATAATAAATTATTTGTTAAAACAAAAGGAAGAACAATTCAGACTTAATTACGCCATAATACTGGAATTATCAAAGTGCACAAAGACATATTGGAAGAAAAAAAGTATATTATATTCAGAACCTGATGATGGGAACGAGGTAAGTTCCTGAAACATTCCAATACTAAAGAAAATATTTTATGAAAATTTCTCAATTTTTACAAAAGCCTTGACTGTGTATAAATATATAGAGAACCATAGATGTATAAGTATATTCTTATTATTGCTTATTTCTGCTTATTACGGAGGAATGTCGCCCGGACCAACGTGCTGCGCGGAAGCGAAGGTCGAGGCTGGCGGCGGCGGCGGCGGCGGGCCGCTGGCGCTCGCGCCAACTCGGCGGCGGCCCCGCGCTCTTGGCACGCGCCCGCCCCCGCGGAGGACCCGGTCCAAACGGCTATTTTCACTTGCTGCAGTACTCGGAAGGCCCCAGGCCGCGGCCCAAGCGGCGCTCGCGAGAACTGCAGCCGAGGACCTCCCCACGCGGAAAGGCGACTGGGCCAAACACGTGGGAGCTTGGCGGAATGCGGTCGGCGATGCTTGGGGCGGTCGTCGAGAAACTACAATTGTGTGCAAAGATGGAGTGTAGATCTCGGTTTGGATGCATTTTACATACCGAGGATAGGCACACACAATACACAGTGAGTTTGTTTTAAACGTGCATGTTAAGAAAGTAATCTTGAAGTAGAAGTTCTCAAACAAACAATAATTAATAATTGGTCAAGCCAAGTTCTCACGATACAGTGATGTAATAACATCTATACCCGGTGCACAGTCGGATTCAAAACTTGCAATTTTTAATTCCGGTGACGAATAGTCATCGATTCGATCGCTATATTTTTACTAAATGAAAATGCTACTTTGAGGCAAAGTTGACGAAAAATGAAACCTTTCCCCCAAAAAGGGAAAGTGATTAAGTGTATAGTTTGTCCAAAAATGACTTGACAACTAGTCTCTTCGTAAATTTTTATCTCATCTCGTTTTTACAGATGTCATTTTTGTCACACTACTTCTATTGTTGATGCTAATGTTGCTTCAGCAAGATTAATTATTTTTCTTAAAGAATAACATATTTTGATGATTTTTGTAAAACGTCATACTACACTTACATACCAAATAGGAAGCATCTAAAAAAGTTCACTTGTAACAAGAATATAATACACGAATGTTTCATGTACTGAGTCATGTAAGTAAAAATAATTAGTTTCCTAGCTCGACTCTCTCATTCACAAATTTATTCGTCTCGAATATGCATCTAACTACTACGGACGTCTATATATATATTATTAATGTGAAGCTAAACACCATCTTGATGTTAGGATCTGAATCAAATTGTCTCCTCACTTATATTTCGCCATCGCTTCATTTGTCTTCGTCGTGTCTTCCATCGCTTTTCCTGACGACGTCGCCAACTATCCAGACAATCTTGTCCGACGCCACGTCTCTTTCGTAACAAACGTCCTGCCCTTGGCAACGAATTCGTTATAGCACAGTCCACGTCCATAACTTTATACCATCATGGAAGGAGTGAAACTTGAAAAAGAATATACTAAATACTAATAAAAATAATACAAATATATTCGTAAAAAAATATAACACAGTGCTACGTTCCATAATATTATTGTCAGATTTACGTGGAATTCACATGTGTTATTTCCAATGAAAATCTACAAAAGCACTTACAGAAATAATTATTTTTTTCAAAACACAAATCTACTTTATGACATTAATTGCGCAATATTGTAACAGAGAAAAATCACAATTCCTTAAATGTTATACTATGTTTGTCCATTAGCAGCTGAGATAATAAAACAGTCTACAATACAATTGGGAGCATTATTCCCGATTTTAATTCACCATTTCAGGAATGATGATTACTCATAAATAAACTAGCTTCGTAACACTTATTCTAGCATATAATTGTTATGCTAAAGGTAGGCACGTTTGATTGACTAGTGTCAATTGGCGTCACCTCGATTACATTAAATATCTTGAGGTATTTTGCTACTTCAAGTTTGAGTAACAACAAGTGCATACTTTTATATGTGCAGTAAATATACAGATTATCATTCCCAGTTCACATTTGCTTGAAAAATTAAAAAAAAATTAAAGACGACCGACCATTTTAAAGAGAACAGTATTGGTTTATTCCTTGGAAGAATAAGATATTCTTAAATTCTTCGCAGATTACTAATGAATCGCGAAAGATTACAGATCAGTTCCACTCACGTACTTTCTTCTGTGCATCGTGGAACTCGTGAATACTTGCATGCGTCTCCAATTGGGTAGCCGTTTATTTCTGTTCCTCTGAGAACTTGGCATGTGACCGCCCACAAACGCACTCGGGCATTTTCTTCCACTTTGCATACCTACCGGCTCGCCCACTTTCTCATTATCCAGCACCTTCCTGTCCACCTGTCCACCTTCCCACCTACCTACACTTTGCCCGCACGTCACAACCGTCTGTCCGTTATCTTTTACGACCAACCTCCCACCAAACGTTTGTCATAAAATAAGATTTTTTTCTTAATATATAATAGAATGTCTACTACTCTAATATAGTTAGTCATAATATCTCACGACTATCTTTCAATTCAATCAGAGCAAACAAAAAAGGTTCGATGTCACATTTGGCTGATTTTGAGTTAACTTCAAAAACTATTTTAAAAATATAAATTCAACTTTCCATGCATAAACATTCGTTGTCTCTGATGTCTGCAGAGTGCCCTTCAACTGTTAAGGTTAAGAAAAAATGTTCCATGTCCGGAACTTAGAACCTTTTTGCTTGCTCTTCAAAATGTGAAGCTCCTGGACATCGAAGGTTTTTGTTTCCTCCGATTCAGTTACAAATGTACTTCCTTTACGAATTCACTTCTCATAGAACCTATTAACAAATTACAGCAGTCCACTTCGCCAGAAACTAAGAAATTCATGTCCGATGCGTATCAGTGTCTCAAGAGTTCTAGATATTCTCTATATGTGCCTAATTCGCCACTTTGCCAGGCAAACTTCACAAATAAATGAACAGATGACTCCGCCCGCCAACCCTCTAATTCGCACGCTCGCCTAGGATGTGTCCTCTCTCTCGTCCTCCAGGTACACCTGCTCTATAATCTGCTTGCTCGCTCACTCGACCGATCTGTCCCCTCAGACCGGCTTGGAGTCAGTATTGCCGAGGACTTTGTTGCGACTGTGAT